CGTCACGAGTCGGATTGCTAATCATGCTGTGCCTTTGTTCTCTACTAATCAGGTTTTTTTGCCTTTCCTTTTCCTTTTTTTTTTAAACAAGTATTCCTTATCAAACTTTATAAACATGTCGATGCACTTTGATCTTATTTTTACATAATTAAATATTAATACTGTAGTTGTAATATTAATACATACACGTTGACCCTATATGGGTGCAATGTGTGTGTTGATTATAAATTTTATCACCAACTTTGCTATAATTGCTTATTCAAGTCTATTAAGAAGATTATTTATGTACAAGATAAAAAATGATTTTTATTTTTTATTTCTATAGATACAAAACAATAAGTCCTGTGTAAGGCGGATGTACATTAATTTTATTGTAAGACGATCGTTTTGATGAGGCTAAATTTAACTATTTTTATGGTTAATTTAAATCTTTAAAGTGTAACTTTTAATTTGTCGTTGGTTTGAATTTATTTTATTGTGTAATTTCTTATAGATTGATGATTACATACTACAAAGGCTAATATGATTAATCTAATACATTATAAGTTTTTTGAAAGATAAAATTTATTATTAGAAAAATAATAACTTTTGTAGTATAAAGGGTAACTTTAAATACTTATAAAATAAATTTAACCCGTCTTACAATCAATTAACGTACACCCGCCTTTTTGGAGAATTTGTGAATACAAAATTGCTTGTTCAAGTCTATTAAGAAGATTATTTATGAACAAAGGAGTATAATTTAAATATAAAAAAAAATTGTTTTTTTTTTTTGACTTTTTAAATTTAATTTTACAAGGAGGAACTCTTGGAAAATGTTGAGACAACCGAGGATGGTGTCATTGACATGGTTCCTGACCACAATACCCTCCCTGTTGATTCAAAAGAGTCATCATCAATCGATCCAAGCAGTGCTAATAGCACAAAGAAATTAGTTGATAGCATAGCAAAGAAGATGAAGGAAATGATATGGTGCAAGGCATTCTATATGTGGCTAATTAGGTTGTTAATTAAATACGATCCTTGAGATTATCATAGCTTTGTTGGCTTAGGAGAATGCTAATTGGAAGATTAGTGACACTATATACCGCAAGTTAAGTGTGATCACTTCTAATTATATCACTTGTTGAGATTACGAGCTATCAACGTAGTCAAGGGAAACTACTAGGAGAGATGCCCCGGTATTTTAATGTCATCAGCTCAACTATCCAACTTTCTATCAACTTGGTGATACTTGTACCGAAGAAGAAATTTGTTAAGTTTGATTACTTCTCACTGGTTTTTTCCGTAGTCACTTTGCTCTCTCCAATGGCTCACCTGCAGGAGCCAGCTAGCGCCCAGGAAATAATCCAACATGAGATACCCGAAAAATGATAGAAGAGTCGTCATGTCTTTTGGAAGTTATGTACTTTCTCTGTTTCTTTATAGAAGCAACATATGAAGTAATTTTTTGACACGCTATTTGAAGTAGGGATTAGAGAATGTATAACGGACGGACATGATAATCTAATTTTGTTTCCCTCAAATTCGTTATAACATTTGATTGCTTACATCTTGATAAATTCTCTCACTTCATTTAAGTAGTCACATATTCAATTTTTTATAAATCTTGTGTGTGACTAGCCACATGGTGTGGGTACATTTGTTTATAAGAACATTCATTATTCCTAAATATGGGTAACCCCAATTATTCATGTCAAAAACCCTAATCTGCCCATATATAAGAGCAACCCCAATTTATTATTTTCAATTAACTTAAAAAATTAAGTAACTGATAGTTTGTCGTATACATGTCAAAGACAAATTCATAACAAAACCAACAAACAATGTAAGTCGAATCAACAAGAAAATGACTATTCAATTTAACCTTTGAGAATTTAGAGAAACTAAATTGTGTCACGAATCGGATAGAAAGGTGGTCTTAATTAAAATAAGAATATGATTAATAAAAGGCCTAGGGTTATGGTACACCGTGTTTATAGTTCTAAATCTATCAAAATACCATTAACAATTCAACTAATCAATGTATAGAGCAATTGCTAAGCCTAAGATCAGGTTTTAATGCTCTCAATTTAACATCTATAGTATGGCCGTTAACATATATAATAAGAATTGTCGATTGTAGATAAGCCTATAAAAGTATGATCTTTCGATGCAGACTCTTATTAACAATTATTAATTAAACATTTGATCAGGTTACAAGATTAACAAAAACGCTATCAGTTAGAGAAATTAATAATCAAAATATCAATAACCCGAACATCAATCAAGATTCATTACATAAACATGGATTCCCAAACCCTAGAAATAAACTAACCAAGCATGAAATAAATAATAAAAACTAGATTTTAAAACGAAACCATAATTGAAAGCAATAAATAGAAATAAAAATACCTCAAAGAATTAAAATAAAAGGCTTAAGAACAATCCATGGAGTTGCCTAAGAGAAACTCTTTTTCTTTTTTTTTTTGACAGGAGCCTAAGAGAAACTAGGGCTAGAAAGAAAACTAAAACGAGCATACTATAAAAATAATTATAAAAGACATAAGGGAAAATAATAATCACTTGGAGTTTTATATTATACTAAAACTAATTAAAAATAAATAATTAAAATAAGATAAGAAAATAAAAATAACAAAAGTCGCCTAGCAATTGGTCGATTGAAAGAGTCAAATTCGGTGTCAGACACTTCGTTGATGTGCACACGCCTAACCCATCGGGCGATGGGTGGGTGCTGGTCAAAATTTCATAAATAGTAGTGACAAAACTGACCATTGGGCGATGGAAAGCAAGTGGCACACGACCAGCGCCCAATGGTTGGGCAGCTTCGCAAGGTCGACTTTAATGGGCTGTATCTCGCATTCTAGGAAGCGTATATAGGAGCATGGGATCTACTGTTGGAAAGCCCTTCGGGTTTAGTTTCCAACCCAATTTGAACCATTTTAATATAATATGTAGAACTCAAGTTATGATCAAAAGAGTGAACAAAGGTCTTTTTGAACTTTTGACACTTATAAATCATCGTTTATTTAACTCCGTTCTTAACTCAAATTCATTCCCGAAAGGTTCATATCGACTCTCATGGATGATACATTCATTTATCATGCATATTTTTTTTTTTTTTTTTTTATCAAAACTAACCTCCCCAAATATAAACTCTTCGATCAACGAACTCGATCCATTGACTTTTCGTCTAATATCATTCGAATCAACTCTAAACACTTTCACAACATCCAAATGATTATGAATAATCACCCGAAACATTTAGAAAACGCAAGAAAAGCATAATAGAGCACAAAATGGACAACTTATGCAAACGTGACCTAATATGCGAGTAAAAGACTTAAAAGCAACTACTCCCTTCGTTTCGTAATAATCGCAACGGTTAGGAGTGCACATAGTTTAAGAAAAATATACAGTAGATTTGTAGGCTTCAATAAAATAATACAAGTTGACAATTTTTTTATAGTATAAAGTATAGTTAGTATGAGAGAGAAATAATAAAAACGTAGTGTAATTGGGGTTGGTAGAAGAGAGAAATGATAAAATATTACTGAATTGAAAGTGGGGTTAGTAAAAGAAATAATTAATAAAATAATAGTGGGTCCTTACCAAATAAGAAAGTGTTGCAATTATTATAAAATGGACATAAAAGGAAAGTGTTACGATTATTATGAAACATAGGGAGTATAAAAGTAGCATAAACATACCTATAAATTCTGTATAAATATGTTTCATCTGTAATCTCATTTGTTCATCCGAGTAACTAGGGATGTCAATGGTGTGGAGCGGGGCGGATGTTAACCTTCCCATCCCCATCCCCATCTGGTCATCCACATTCCCATGACGGCTCCAAAACCTATCCCCATCCCTGCCTTGACAGGTTCAAGTCCAAAACCCCCCACTCCATCTCCCACTTAGCTTGGATATCCGTAACTATCTAATCCCCCCCCCCCCCCCCAAGACTCGCCTATTCCATGCCTCCAAAATACAACAATACACATAATATAAATTACAATAAAAAAAATAAAATTCACTTAATAAGTTAATATACCCAATTTTTATTATATTTTTTTTGGACAGGAATATACGCAATTTTTTATTTATTAAACGAAGTCTATTACGAAGTATTGTATTTATTGCTGTAAGAGCTTTGCCTGCATTTGCAATGGTCTTATTTGTATAATGTATTTGAATAATAAATCCGATTACTTCTTTGATGCACGTTTCTTCTCAATTCTCTCTTATAAAATTTGCTTTGATTGTACCTTAGTTTAGATGCTGTAAGCCTGTAACAGCTTGGGCATGATCTGCTTTTTGTATGTGTTATGATTAAACGATCAAATCGTCACAAAACTACCTCGCTGAATATTGAAAATGGTTCTGATGCTGTAGCCTATAGCATTATATCAGCACTCCCACTATTCCACCAAGATATTCACCTGATAATTGTACTTCAGAAAGTTCAGGGACAAGTATTTTCTGAACTATAGAAGTAGTGTTGTTTGTGTGATAGACCTATAGAGGAAAACTAGCAGAAAATACTTTTGGCAATTGTTTAGGAGGGTTCTCAAAGACCACATACATAACTGAGTACACTAATCGAAAATTTAATTCTATAAGCTGTGAGGGAGACATCCAAGGCCATGAAAGGGAAGGAGAGGGGAAGTTTAAGGGAGCTGGAGGAGAGAAAAAAATTAAACCAAAATTACTAAACAACACGTGGCAAGTTAACCTTTTAAACTGGTTATCAACACGTTAAGGCCCATTAAAAGTAGATAGGTATGAAAGTTCGGATTATTATAGAATAAGCAAAAGTTGGTATTATTTTAAATAAATCGGCCAAAGTTTAGATAATTAAAACCAACGTTTTCTTAAATGTTTGGTTAACATAGTTATAGTAATTCGTTTCACTAAACAAAGCAAACATCTAAGATGAAATTGCTGTAAAACCAGAGATGGCTACTAGGATAAGGAGGACCGGAGGTCATTTAGCGGATCTCAGCCAAGTCATCTGTTACTAAACTACAACCATATATACAACATATCTGTTGGTTTAGCATGCTCTACAAAACTCCTTTACTCTATTAGTCAAGCTTACTAACCTATTCATATCGAGCTTTAACTTGTAAAGGACATTCACAAAGCTACATTAGCTGATGTCTAAATTCTGATGGATACATTGCCTTCATGACATGTACATAGGGTTAACCAAGATGTCAGTACTAAGTTTATGAGGTGGTGGTAGAGAAAGGAGAGCCTGAAGTAGTAGCCAGAGCTATGCGATCCTGCACCGAGTGATCCATTTTTTGAGACAATGATGTGTTGCTGATGTTGTCTAGTTGACTGCATGGTTTCAGTTTTACTATCAGACGCTTGGATCGGCTTCTTATCTCCGCTTCTTCATAACTTTCTCTCAACTCTTCTGCTGCTTCTTCCAAGTCTTCATTCACCTCTTCTACTGGTAAGCTCTGGCAAGCAGATGGCATCAGTTCATTCAGTTGTAGACTTGCTGCTGCTTCAGCTTTGTTAACTTGCACACTTTTGTCTTTCTGAATGCAATAATGTTACTTGAATTGATAAACTCATGCCATGGAACACATACAAGAAGACTATGTATTCGGATACAATGATCTTATACGAAAAGATGATGGATTTATGTATATCAGCATATATGCAGTGGTGCACTATTTATATGTACTTTCAATATATTCCAATTCCATAAATAAATGCATGTATCAGTTATCTTTCACACAGCTTCAACATCCATTGCTCAAAATCTCAAATGAAAGGCTTAAACTTCGATCCACTGATAATTAAATGCATATATATTGATAGAGCACTCTAGAAACAATGTAAGCATAGCATACCTCCAGTTCCATCAAAGCTTCTGAAATTTGACGTAGTTGCATTTCCATAAGATACTTCTTCTTCATCAGAACCTCATAGGTTTCCTTCATTGACAAAAGTAAAAAAGTTATGTTAATAAGACTAGCTCTTTCAGGAAAAATAATAAATAAAAAGTTATGATAACTGTGCTGTCTTCGTTTGATCACTAATTAACCAGTTCATACTGAGTCACTGACCCTCCCAGAAGATGCTGCACTGGCTGGTATTGCCGTAGTGATTGGCTGCTGACTTTGGTTTTTGGTTTTAAGCTCTGCCATTTGTCTGCAATGAGGATATCTCGATTAAGATAAAAGATCAACACAAATACAATTACAGGATTCAGAGAGTCCAGTCAATAACTACCTCCTCATGGTGCTAAGTTCATCTTTAAGCATCTTTACTTCTTGACGACATGAACACCTGGGAACGTTAATGCTCTCTCCAAGCTTCCATCCAGGAGGTGGAATCCAGTAGGGGTCTTTAACCCCAGCCTCCTTCCTGATGTTAGCCAGATCAGCACTCTCAAGCCAGTACTCCATCTTACCTTCAGCATCACACCTTCTACGAAGGCGATCATTGCCATCACGCGGAACAACTTGGCCAGCAAGGTGCTTGAGCATATGGTCTAACAGGCCTGTATCACCAATTCTTTTCCGAGCTTCTGTCCTTAGCTGCAAACGAGAAATTGGGTTTTCATGATCGGCTCCATATTTCTTCAAAACATCCACCAATTCCATTCCAGCTGCCTCATACCTGCATGTTTCAAGTTAGCCTAGTGAAGTAGTAAGCACTTTCAGACAATCAGACTAAAAATTGTTTCTTGTGAGCTTTACCTTTTTAGAGGCCATCTGTCAATAAACTCTTTATCATTGTTTCCCTTGATTACAGCCTTAATTTCAATAGCTTTTTGCTTAGGAATGTGGTCAGTCTTCTTGCTTTGAGAATGTGGAGCACTACCACGCTTTCTCTTCCTGTTATATTGAATAATTTCTCTGACCTTAGTTTCATGGTATGCCTCTTCTTTCACACTTTGCTTATCCTCCCCTAAAGTTAAACTCTTTTCCTCTCCATGGTCTTCTAGATCTTTAGAATTTGGGACATAGGCAGCAAACTTCTTCAAACCCCATCCTTGGATTTTGGAGGCTCGGAGCTTAGAAAAGCATGGCCCATGCTTAGCCTCAGAACCATTTGTCGCTCCTGGCGGTGGCAAGGGCTTGATTAGCCAAAAGGACTTAGAGTGCTTAAGCTTATCAAACCCTTGAGATGGGATTATGCGCCTCAGAACTTCAACAGCAAGCATTGGTCCCATGATGAACTTTTCATCCAATGCAGGGTAAAGTTCTGATCGACGAGCTATATGGTCTGAATTGCCAAAATACGCCTCTAGTGATTGAGCACTAGGATATCTTACAGTCACATTCAGTTCAGACTTTGAAGTTACCTTAAAAATTAATGAACAAACACAAAAACCAACAGCAGTCATCACCACATTTTTCCCCAGTAGCCAAACTTCTTTTACCAAATTATAACCACAGCAAAACCAAGATAGCTATAACACACTAAAAATCAATATTAATTCATCCCAACTTTCATACCACAACTTAGAATTTCACTACAGAAAACCAGATTAAACCTAAATTTATACAACAATAGCCCAAAAATCACTACATATTAAAATCCAATGTCTTCTCTATTCCACAAAATCATGCATACACACAGTAAAGCAACAAATTTTAGAACCGGGGTTGAGCTTTCATTACCATAACAGCGCGAACATAATGGAGCATAGCCGGGGTCCTCAGAGGTAACTTTGAATGATCAATTTCATAGAATGAACCCTCCAAAATAGTCTCAATTGGTTCTCCTATGTAAAACTATTATGATTAGTGAAAAAATACAAATTATGAACCCTCTAAAATAACATCAGCATCAATAAAAAGTAGCATACTTTTGGGGATGGAACTGTGAGAGTTGGGCAGTGGACATCTCATTGCTGCATCTCCCACTTCTCCTAGTATACTCTGCCTTTTCCACATCCTTTTCAATCTTTCCTACAATCAATTTTCATATAACCCAATAATAAATAAAAAAAATAAGCACAAAAAGTAAACAATGAAAAAATCATCTTTTTTTTTTTTTTTTTTTTTTTTGAAGAAAGAAAATCATCCTTCTTTTTTATATAATTAAGATAATAGAATTATGAAATCAACCCAAGCAAGATTTTTCATAAATTTTTACTGGGTTTTTAATTTTTTTTTTTAATGACTAAAAATAAGCAGAAAAAAATAAATAAAATCGGACAGATTTTGCACAACACAGAATCAACCCCATTAACCCATGTGAAGATTTTGCTCCCTTACCACCACAATCGCCGCCCTTATCACCACTACCGCCACTACCTCCGCCACCACTAACAACAAAACTGTGAAAAAAGATAACGAAAAAAGGGGGAAAAACAGGGGAAATTTGCTTGAACCCAAAATTATTCAGCCGGAAAGAAGATAAAGATTATTCGATAGTAAAAATAAACGTAAAAAATTCGAAAATCATGAAAAGGATATGATTAAGCTTAAAAACCCCCATTAAAACCCACCTTTACTAAGTGCTGAAACTTCCAGAAAAACAGAGAAACTCAAAAAATTAAAAAAAATAATAAAAAATCTTCAGAACAACGTCAGAAAGCAGAGAATATTAATCACAAAAAAAAAAAAAAAAAAAAAACCAACACCAATTTATCATCTAATGGGAGTTTGATTTACAATAGGATTTTTTACAAAAATAAATAAAAATTGTTTTCTAGGAAATCTAAAGTATCGGAAGAAAATAAAAAGAGGACAGAGAAAGAGAAGCAAAAAGAAAGGAAGAGAAGAGGGTGCATTGATATGATACCTGCAATTGTGAGTGTTGAAGCAGAGAGAAGAGATGGTGCTGCACAACTATGGAAACGCTTTGCTCAGAAAGATAGGAGAGAGAAATACATTAATAGGAGAGAGAGAGTTTTTGAGGTTTTAGGAATTTCTGGCTTTTTATATTTTTACCTTTTTTTAAAAAAAAATTTAATTATGATTGTGAGAAACCAATCCAAACTAGGATTAATATATTTTTATTTCATTATTAATACGGAGTATTATACATGATGAATCTTTGTAAATAGTTGTAATTTGGTTTTGTTGATTACTCCGTTCTTAAAAAAAAAAAAAAAAAAAGGGTTATATTTAATGGTTTTACATAATTAATTAATAAGAAAATAAGATAGTAGAAAACAATGATTAAATGTCATATTTATCAAGTATTAATTTAAGGCATTAAATTAATTTTGAAAGTAGGGTTATTTACATTCGTGATTGGTAAATATTTTTGTACATAACAATAGTTGAGTTGTGCAAATATTTCGATAAAAGGGGATAATTGCATGAAATGTATGTATATATGTATGAGGGAGATGTGTAAAATTAAAATATTTAAAACGTATGTAATCGGGAACGCCTAAAATGATAGACATAATCCTCTTTTTAAAACAAAGGGAGTACTTGTTACTCTGTAATAGTTAATTGTAGAAATAGATCAAATTAGATTTTGCGATTGATGATTTGGCGCGAATCGTAAACCTGGTAGTTTTATTAGTTGTATGGTCATTATTATAGAGTATTTTTTGAAATATGACGGTTTAATTTAAAGGGTATTTTGGGGTTTCACTTGATGAGGCACGTGGCTAAATTCGTTACGGCTAATAAAATCGTATTATTGGCATATATAATATTTCAATTTGGAATAAAATCTTATGAGACAATACAATTTGTCCAAATTAAAAGAGTGGGATCACCAAAAAATAATAATTACTAGTAGCCAAGTTAATCACTTTATAAATTTTATTTTAAAAACGATTTTACATAATATTAATTGTATTGAGACAATGTAGATAAGTTCAAGTTTTTACATTAATTTACTAATAATCAATGTTCTCAACTAAATTTCATAATTTAGTCAAGTTATTTTAAACAAAAAATAAAATAAAAAAAACTAATTTCATAATTTCTACAATAAAAATAAGATATTAAATGAATTCGATATTTACACTTTTTTTAAAATTCACATTATAAATATTCATGTTATATTCTAAAATAAATACTCGTACTTTGTGTTATTCATGTTATATTCGAGAATTATTTCCATAGTATTATTCACAAACCCTAACAATTCTCCAATAAAGTTTTTTTACAATAATATATACTTCTTCGAAAAAAAAAATTCTCATATGTTATGAATTTATCATCCCAATTGTAGAGGGTGATAAGTAAAACCTATTCCAAAACAATTATTAAGGGATTTGTTAAACATCGCCCACAAATTACTACATAAAACCCACAAAATTCACTTGGTTTGCCAAAATTGCCCTTGACCTTAAAAAAAAAACACTCACACTCTCATCACTCACACTCTCATTGCTCATCTTCTTTCAACCTCTCTAAAAAAAAAATTTCAAATAACGGCAATGTCGAGGCGGCAAGGCAAGGAATTGGCGGCGGCGGCGGAGGGAAGGATGTCCCAAGGAGGAAAGGTACATTTTGTTTAAAAAAAAAAAAGGGAAAAACCGCCGTGAACGCGGTGGGGCGCCCTGGCTGAACGCCCAGCCAGCGGTGGTGGCGCCAGATGCGGACGCCGCCACCAGTTGGCTGGCGCCTGGGCTGGACGCCACAGCCACGGTTGTGGCGTTTATTCTAGGCGCCGCAGCCGTGGCTGTGGCGTCCAGCCCAGGCGCCAGCCAACTGGTGGCGGCGTTTGCAGCTGGCGCCACCACCGCTGGCTGGGCGTCCAGCCAGGGCGCCCCCCCCCCCCCATTTTTTTTATTTTATTTTTTTTATTTTATTTTTTTAAAAAATTGTTTATAATTTTTTTTTTTTTTTTTGTAATATAATTTTGAATTGTTTTTATATTTTGTTGTTTATTTTTATAAATTTTTTCAATTTCGTTGTATTTTTTCTACGTTTATATTTTGTTTACAATTATTTGTATGTTTTTAGTTTATTTGATTTGCGATGATGATTATTTATCGTATAAATTTTTGTATGTTTATATATTTTAAAATTTTGTGTAGAATTCACTGGGTCGTCATGGTGCGGGGAAGAATATAGAGCTTCTTAGTAGAAGTTATTCAGTGGAGAGGTCGGGGCATAGACATGTCAGATCCCGTGGTATTTCGGCCACAGTTCGTAGAGAACGAATCCTTCGTCGGGATGAGGATGACGATGACGATGAGGAGGGTGACCAGGAGGAGGAGCAGGAGGAGGGCGCAGATGAGGATGAGGATGTGGACGATGGCAGTGGACCGTATGATGATTACGGTCCATTCAGTCAGAGGGTTGATGACATGTACGAGACGCATATGGTGGAGGTGCGTAAGGGTAGGGGTGGTAGGTTTGTTAGTAGATCTGGCACATCATCTGCGTCCACTGTATCTGGGGCAAGCAGGAAACGGTCGAGGGCCGGTAATGATTCTTGGGTTGTTAGGAGTGAGGTGCCCGGTGGGCCTGTTGACGGGAGTGTGATTCCTAGCTTTCTAGGACACATAGCTGCCCGTATTTGGGAGGACCAGGAGAGGCCTTCAGTTACGGGGTTGTTGAAATGTCATACCCGGGAAAAGACTTGTAGCTTTTTGCGTACATGGGCTGAGGCCTGGCCGGCGGAGAGGGAGATGTTCGAGCGACTGGAGGGCACTGGGGTGAAGCACGTTCCTGCCACCATGCACGATAAGATTGACAGTACGCTGATCACGACTTTCATTGAGCGATGGCAGCCGGATACAAACTCTTTCCACCTTCCGTTCGGTGAGATGACGATCATGTTACATGACGTCGAGGCCATTCTGGGGATTCGTGTTGAGGGTAAACGACTTTGTGCTGTGGCTGATGCGGATCAGGCAGATTCGCTGGCGGAGTTGTTGGCGGTGGACAGGGCTGCACTGTACACCGAGGCGCTAGGTGTTTGGGAACACGGAGGTGTGAAGATCACATCCGTGTTGCAGCGGTGTTTGTACCCGAGTGCACGTAGGACGCCCGACGCACAGCTGAGTGCTTATGTTTTTCTACTCCTCGGATGTACCTTGTTTCCGGATAAGAGCGGCGGAAACAAGCTCAGGCCACGCGACATCGTAGAGGCGTGTGACCCCGACAATGTAGGCCATTTTTCCTGGGGATCGGCTACGTTGGCGTATTTGTATCGCCAACTAGGATTTGCGAGTCGGGCTGACGCGGCAGGTATCACTGGGTGTCTGACTCTATTGCAGACCTGGATATACGAGTACTTTCCTGCATTGCGACCACATCGTGACCCAGTTCCTATTGATGAGGGGATGTCGCGTGCTTGTGCGTGGAGTCCGCGCTCGGAGAAGAAGTCCGTTGACCGCCTCCGATCGATACGGTTATTGCTGGACAGGCTGTCCCCCTTAGAGGTAACGTTTATTTATAGAGTCTACATTTTATTATTTGCACATATTATATTCATGTTATTAAATTTTATATGTTGTTATTGTACAGGTGAACTGGATGCCTTTCGGCCCGAACCCTAGTGTTAGGGTACCCAGGACCCTGTACACGGGACTCATTCAGTATCGTGACATCGTCGAGGCGTACATGCCCCAGCGTTGTCTTCGCTAGCTTGGATTTGTCCAAGTTGTCCCTCCTCCCCCGGCGTGCCCGATGAAGGCGGTCCGACCTGCATCGTCGAGGGACTACGTCGTGGAATGGCCGGATATCATGACCGGGACGTGGGACCAGTTTCCGATGGTGGCCCACTTATGGACTGCGGAGTTGCAGCGGCCGCCCTCTGGGGTTACTCCCATGTGTGACCATTACTACATGGAATGGTTCAACCGGTATTCGCACCCGAGGTTGATCGCTGATCTCGACCACAGCGATGATGATTATGTGCCACCGCCTACTGCCACGGAAGCGGTATGTCTTTTATTATATTTATCGTTGTCTTTTAATTAAGTTTTATTTGTTGTTATTGTATTTCATCTTCTGTTTTTTGTTGTATG